ATTCACGATACACTGCTTATAACGAAAAAAACAACAGAAAGACAGAGATAATTAATTCAATTACAAAATTTCGTTTCATTGCAATTTCATATTTCATTCAAACTCGCATAATCGAACTAACAATATTTGAAAACTCATGTTCATAATTCACGATACACCCCATTCATAGTGTCGATTTACATTTAATGCCTTTTTAACGTGCAATCAAACTATGCCCAGTTACCGCAGCAATTTCTAGGATGTCTTTAGCGCACGATTGTTCTTGCCGAAATTATCAATGACACTCACACGATACGTATTGACTCCGAACGAGATGACCATTAGTATCATCATCGCGAACGACGGCAGCATGACGCCATCCGCGTACGTCGTCAATTGTCTTTCATGATAACAAAAGTCTAATGAGCCCATACGTGCGAACAATATGTAAAGTAAATTCTCTCCAATTGTCCGTCAGCTTGTACACGAAAATGGACAATTTGGAAAGAGGAGATACATACAGGAGATAAATTCTGCCCAATTGACCCCCACCCACTCGATTTCTATTCAATGGCATTATTTTTTTTAACTCCATTTATCTCAAAAGCGGAGTCTCGAATGAAACGATGTTGCTATTTTCTATCGCCTCAATGTTGCATGGACAATTTGCGAAGAGGAGATAATAAGGAAAATAAGCTCCCGGCACGTTTTTACAGTCGCCCTGTTCTGGATACAGAAAGTACTCCCTAAGTGACGCTCAGCTTGAACACAAAAATGGACAATTTGGAAAAAGGAGATTAAGGTCAATTAGAGAGTAATATCAAAGTCTTCTAAATATTTATGGCAAAAATAACTCTAATATAGTGATAATAACACAATAACTGCAATATATATATATTACTAAAAATATAAGAAATATAATATAAAATGATATAACATGATGATATAAAATAATAACTATAACATAAAATAATAAATATAATATCTATAATAACCGGAGTCAAAAATAATAACTAACTGTAAAAACGAGCCGCGTGGCTCGAATAATCGTATCCCCTCTTCCCAAGTTGTTCATTTTCGTCTCCGAGCTGAGGGACAATTGCGGAGAGTTTACTGCAGTTCTCGACGATCGCCAATTACAAAAACGAGCCGCGAGGCTCGAACAATCGCATCTCCACTTCCCAAATCGTCCGTTTCTGTTTACGAGCCGCGGGACAATCCGAGAGAATTTAAAATGGCAAGCTAATCAAAGTACCGACACGATGGCTCGCCGATGCATCTCCACAGCCGGTCGAATTTTTAGCACGTCCGTTTCGTTAGAGCTCGCTGCATCGTCCACCGCGTTTTGCATTCGATAGCTGGATCAAAAATAATCGCTATGAATCGGCTGTCTGTCCAATCTAGGCTCGCGTTCTCAGTGCGTAGGGCACGGAAACCGAAGGCGAAGATTCTCGACGATCTCGTCGAAAAGATGAACCTAAGCAACCGGTCAGCTGTTGCGACCTCTTTGGAAAGTATGCATATAAAATGTGTCGCAAAGAGTAAGCTACTTTCAGCGAAGACTGCTACTATTTTTTTTTTATACTTCTATCTTGGCCTTCAAATATTTCAAACGTCCTGAAATTTACGAATGCACAGGGTGATCGAAGCTGTCACAAAGAAATATCTCCGTTGTCGTCAACAGTACTGAAAAATGATGGATGTTGCGGTGGAAATGATTGCTTTTTAAAGGTCATATTTTTCGAGATTCGATAAATCTTGAGATTTTTTTTGAAAATTTCGAGGCCTAGATGACAGTCAGAGAGAATAAATTTGGAGAATAAATTCTCCCTAATTGACGCTCAGATTGTTATTCAAGCCTCTCGGTTATAAATGTAAATATAAATGTAAATATGTATTCAAAAATGTAAATATAAATATATATAATATAAATATATATCTAAAAATGTAGATATAAATGTCGACGATTAAGAAAACGAGGTACAAGGCTCGAACAATCGCATTTCGTTTTCCCGAATTGTCCATTTTCGTGCACAATCTGCGTGTCAATTAGGGGGAATTTATCGTCGTCATCGCCAAAAAATAGTAACAATCATCGCCGAAAGAATAGCAATGATCGTCGCGTTTTCGTTTCCACTAAAATTGCAAAATATTGCCA